TCTCCACCTGCGTTCAGCTTTACGACACTCCCTTTTTTCACTTCTAACTGCTGGAGCACTTCTCCAAGGAGATTTTTTCTTACCGGAAAAGACTTTCACTTTAATTGGAGCAATGCAGCTAATGATGTCTGAGACTTTAGACTGAAAGTTATCTACTAGCTCTTCTACTGAGTTGCACCCCAAGGTTGAAGTAGCAGAGTAAGCTTGAATAAAAGTTTCTGTGGCATTTTCCTTAAAGGTGCGTTTTCTTATGATGTCTCTTTGGCTAAATGAGTCACTGGAAATGATGCCCTCAAAGGTAACAGAAAAGTGATCGGATAGGGCAACATCAGTAACGCTGACTTTAGAAATCTTCAGACCTTTAGTGATGATCAAGTCTAAAATATGTCCCTGTTTGTGTGTTGGTTGTTTAACATGTTGAGTTAAACCAAAGTTTCTAAGTGTGTCACACAGTTCTTTTGCACTTCTGTCTTCAGGGTTGTCAACGTGAAAATTAAAGTCTCCCACAATAATTAAACAGTCATAATCAACGCATATCACAGACAGGAGGTCACTAAAATCATTAAAAAAGTTTGACGTGGACTTAGGAGGCCTGTAAACATTTAGAAACATAGTTCGTACCGGGCTCTTTACCTGCAGAGCCAAATGTTCAAAAGAGTCAAATTTTCCCAAAAACACCTTTTTACACTTCAGTGAGTCATTAAACAATGTTGCCACTCCTCCACCTTTCCTTTGCTGTCTGCTCTCGCAAAGAAAATTGTAGTTTGGAGGAGACGACTCCAACAGAATATGTGCTTCATTAAGTCCATGTAACCACGTTTCTGTTAAAAACATAACATCAACATTATTGTCAATAATAAAGTCATTAATTAAAAGGGATTTTCCTGACAGAGATCTAATGTTTAATAAAGCCAGTTTATATGAATTAGTGGTTGATGTTGTCTCTGTAGCAGGCTGCATCTGACAGTTTATGACTCTTAAGTGTCTGTTCCTGTTTGTTCCCATTTTGTTTTTCTTATTTCTGCCACGTATCATCACAGATATTCCATAAGCTCCAGTGTAAGGCCCAAGCTGATGCTGGAAACTGTTATGTCTGATAAGCTTGTTGCCGGGGCCCGGTGTGTATCACGGAGAAGTTATCTGAAGGTCCTGACGTTCCGTGATATGTAGAGGAGGATCTGGGGCTCTGCTGCTTTTAGAAGATGCTGGTTTTTTCACATAGCTGCGGCTTTCGGAATGGCTATGTGGAGAGGATGTCAACTGTAGGCCAATCTTGAAAACTTTGTTCATGTTATGAGAAAATTCCAGAAAAGGAACATCTGGGCTTTGTGGGGGAGAGGGGGAATTGGGTGCAGTCTGGACTGGTGTCTGTGGGGATGGAGGTTTTTGGTAATTTAAAGGGGAGTCCTCTTTTTGTCCTGCTGAGATCTGGGATGAATCCTCCTGTAGTTCTGATGTAGGCTCTTTCTGTGTCATCTTTTTGGCCATCTTTATCTTGGCTTGTTCGGGCTTTACTGGGCTTATCGTTTGTTTAGGCACTGGTTGTACTTTGTTTTGGAACAAAGCTAATGGTGCATGGTTCACAGAATAGAAAATGTTTGATATCAGCCGTTTCGCTCCTGACCTATTTAAAGAGAAACCATCTCTGTTGAACAAATGTCTCCTCTCCCAAAAGATGTTAAAATTGTCTATGAACGTTACAGTTGTTTGTTTGCATGTTGCATCCAGCCATTTGTTTAACATCAGAACTCTGGAAAACATTTCATCTCCACAATTAATGGGCACGTGAGGGCCGCTGAGAAACACCTTGACATTAAGACCATCAACTAAATTCAGCAGACGAATGTAATCCTCTTTCAGTATTTCTGATTTTCTCAGGGCTGCGTCGCCCAAGGCTTCAGCTTGTATGATGAGTTTCTCCAAGGTCGGGCGTTTTTTCATGATCTCTGGAAGGATGTCTGATACATTAGACACCAGGCCATAGTTCAAAGGGGTATAAATCAACACCTCTGTGTTTTTCTTGTTACAGAAATGTTTAATCCCACGTATAGATCCACTGCATAATATCAGGGTCCTTGGCCCTGTGGCTTCTTTTTTCTCTGGTAGCTTAGAGTGAAGATTGTTGACATACCTTTGATTGTCTTTGTGATCCTTCTGGGTCTCATCTTGAAGTGGAGCAAATCTGTTTTGTAACGGAATTCCAATATTTCCAGCAGGTTTACTCCTATCATTTGTTGTGAGAACATCCCGTTTTTGTTTCACTTTTCTTGGGATATCTCTCTGTGGTCTCGGCCAGTTTTCTGTGTCTAGGTGGGTTCGTTGATCCTTTGGTCTAGCACCCAGAGTGGTCCAGGGATTTTCCTTTTCCTCTGGGAACTGTTTGTTTGCTGAGTTTCTGGGCTGGTGGTCCCCATTCGGAATCACAGGCAGCGTTGTTTCATTACCATACGCGGCGTTTACATCATAGTTTACTTCAAGTTGGTGGATTTTCAGCTCCATGACAGCTATTTTCTGTAGAAGCTTGTCAAAGTCGTCTGTGCTGAAGGTAGGCATCCTTTGAATCGGGTGGTTCTTCTCCATATCCACTTCGGGGAAGAAAAAAATTAATAAATAGATAAAAATAAAAATATTTAAAAAGAAATAAAAGAAAATAAATCAAATAACTAAATCCAACTTTCTGTAGTTTTGGTTAAGAGATAAAAAGAAGATAAAAGGACCAGAAAGTGTAAGCAAGCAGGGAGCAGAGAAAAGAGCGTGTGCACACACTGAAGGACAAAAGCCTTCAGAACTGTGGCACAGCTTTCTGAATGCAAAGCCTACAGGTACATGTAGATGAGCCCATCATCTCTAAAGGCCGTACGGCTGTGTTGATGAAGCTAATAGACCTGCCTCTTTTTTTGCCCACTGGTAGTTGGAAGAGTCTGGTGAATCACTTTAATGTTTGTTGGTCCGCTGCAAGCGGCTGAATCTTCTCCTCGTCCTTTAACTCCTTGAAATGTGAGTCAGTGCATTTGTGGTGCTGCCAAAGTGCTTTATCCTTATTTTGCAAACGGTGCATCCTGCAAAGTTCATCCAAAGCTTGGTCTTCCTGGGCTTCCAGTAAAACACAGAAAGATTCCAGATCTTTGCTTTCAAAGAAGATGGTTAGTTTTGGGCTATTGGGTTATTATTTTGGGTTATTAGTCATTTTATATAAATTCTGCATCATGGTGAATGGGGATCTTTTGCCCCCATCCCTGGACCTAGTGATTTACAATCACAGATAGGTTGGTTAACCTCTAAATCAGTGTTCAGTACAGCAAATATTATAAGATTTTGTGATACTTTTAAAAATACAAATTGCTCGCTATTTCTAACAATACTAATTAGAGATCCAAAGGGTAAATGCATTCAGTGTACAGCATGTCAACAATCTGATATTGTATATTCATTGCTAATCAATCATGTCCTTAACTTTCCTAGCAACTGATGATGATAATAGTTTTTATAAGTTAAACTAATCAAACTTTGTTATTTTCAGATCAGTTCTTCCTGTTATCTAAAGTTGTAAATAAAAGTATTTTATAAAAAAAAAAAAGAGAAAAAAAAGTTACATCTTGTTTGCTGCAATTAAATTTCACCATAAGTGGTTGGCCTGAAATTTGATGTGTGTTTCTTATCTGGTACAAGCTGATCTAACACTGCTGTCACGTAACAACAAATGTAAAAACCCTTGGTGTCTGCTGGTTTTATTTATACTGCTATTAAATGGTAATTAAACTTATTTAAGGATAATCGATGGTAATTTGGTCTAATCATTAATCTACAACGTGTACAAGTCTAGGACCATAAACAAGTACAAGTCATATTTCTAACAACCTGTACATCCTGGTAGGAGGCGGTTCAAACTTTTACCTTCAAGTTGGTGCCACAGAAAGCTAATGGCAATAATGAGTAAAAACAGAGACTCTGTTGGAAACAAATAGGCCTTTTTCCCTACCTTCCCTCTTTTTTTGTGAAAAGAACAGTTAGGTTGTGCACACGCACTTGCCCATTTTTATCTCTACAAACTTTAATATTATTTTTTTTTTTTGGACCATTTACAATGAAAAGTCCGATTCCTTGTTTATGCACAAAAACTTGGCCAATAAAGTTGAGCTTTTCTAGCAGAGGCTTGATGCCTTGCAGTCAGTTGATCATTGCTGATGATCTCAACTCAAAACATTGTAGTCCTTGTCTCACTTGTTATTCAGCATTCTTAAGAACACGTTCCTCAATGTTGGGCTGCTGCTTTTTGTTTGTCTCCACAGCATGAATTCAGGAAGGAATTTGTCAACTCATTTTACTGGTTGATTAAAATGCCAGATGAACAAAGGGAGTATGGTGGTGAGAAAGACTGCTGCACTGATGTCATTTAAATTGAATCATCTTGCATTTCATAATGTAATTTAGTAATACCTTACGACTTTTGAATGCAGGCATTGTCAAACGCTAAAAGACAACAGCTTTTGGAATCGATATGTTTTGTAATAAGGCTCCACACTATGTTTCAATTTAATTCAATGGTAGCTATCTACCCACATACTATACTTAGTGTGATGGAGACAGCTGATTGCTTCTCTTTACGGAGTGAGATTCAAGTTTTTCCAGAGGTTTGACCTGTTGGACCGTACCTATTGAAGAGAGGAAGAAAAAGAGGGAGTGTTCAACCACATTCCTAAACAGTTTTTTTTTTTAAGAATGCATGTTGTTAGTTCTAAGCCTTTAACTTTTAAATATTAGTTACAAAAGTGGAAGATATCTTTAGCTACATTATCTAATACTTGAATTACATTATATGATCACCTAGATATGAGACATTTGTAGCACTTTCTGCACTTTTTAGCTTTTAGCAACAAAACCTAGGAAAAACCATTACCTGTGTAGGTAAACGACAGGATTTAAGTAAGGACTTCCTCTAATCTTTCTCTCTTGGCAACCTCTAAGTGTCTCTGCTGGGTGTTTTTCTTGTGCAGTTTACCTTTCGTCTCTTAGCAAGGGTCCTCCTAATGTACGTGATGTCCGCTGAAACAGCAGTGCTGGGCATTTGAGAGTCTCTTAGGGAGCTGAAATGTTGTATTTCCAAAGAGAAATCATTAGAAATGTCCTTACAGTAAGGCAACTGATTTTTGTACAGTGGTAACCTGGTCGGCGTGTTCAGTTCCTAGTTGAAGCTTGTCTTCACACACAAAACTTTCAGGATTATTGGCTGTAATGGGTAAGAGTTGTTTACTGCCTTTATCCCTTTTTGCATGTGCTTTATGCTATTTTATCTTGTGGCTTTTTACGCTCTGACAGAGAGGGATGTATGTTCTTCCAGAGGTGCCGCAGGTTTTCTTCTGTTGCACCAGTTCCCCTAAACCTGTTGAAATAGAAAGTCCTGTTACTGACGGCTTATTATACCATATTTATGTACAGCTCAATTTACAACATGTTACTATTTCCAACCCTTTCCCTTATAAACTTTTACCCAGTGTGGGAATAATTACCAATGATAGGTACGTTATTAAGGCAAGGAACGATTCAATACATACCCCCGAAATGCAACATCAAACCAAAAATTGCATTTGTGCAGTACCTTACAATTGCAATATTGCACAGAATTATTTTGAAACCGTTTTGAGTCAATATGTTGCACTTCTGTTGAACTATGTAGGTTAGAGATTTGGCTGGATAATTATTTTATGTTTCCCTTAAATGTATGATGTATCGAGTACCCATATGGCTTTTTCAGTTTAGCTGTCATAAAGAAATATAGGTGCCATTCATTTCGGGCATTTTTGAAGTTTATACACAAGTAGAGCACTCTGGTTGCATGCAAAGTATTTCTTAAAGATTAGCGTCTTGTTGGGATATTATTTATTTTATGTTTATAACTTTATTTCTGTTCAGTTTGTTAAGAAATAAAGTCCCTCATGTTTATTTACAATTACATCACCTGACTGGAGGTAAGGTACGGGACATGTTGACAAGGAGATCAACAAGGAAGTAATAGGCTAAGCCAGTTGGTACCTCCCACTGAAGGTGTGAACATAATGAAAAGTCCCAAAATCAAATGTGAAAAAGATGCAAAAGAAAAAAAAAAGTTAGTTTCTTGAAGGATAAGTTTGGAAAAGTGCCAGAATACGAGTTGATAGATGTGTAAGCAAACATCCTATTATACTATTGATGGCAAAGCTATGTTTATTCTCTACACAGTATAAATCCAAACAACAACGATGGATTACTCTATTGTAATTATCAGAGTGGGGGTGAGAGGGCAGCAGGTTGCTAAACCTGCTAGGCTGCTAAAACCTAGAAGACTAAAGAAATTCAGGGCTCATCAACAATGCATTTACTGTTACTATCATTTAATTTGCATTTATCCTAATGAAACTCTTTTAGCTCATGACATTTTGTTTTTACTTTATAATTTAAAGATTTCATCCCTTGATGCTGAGTCTTTGTTTAGTAGGAACAGGGGTTTGCTTTATTCTTGATGTTCTGATAGGAGACTTTGGGAGGATTCATTAGACCTTAGAGGTGCTGTAGATCAGTCTATTTAATAAACAGTAATTCTAGTGCTTTACTAAGACAGATGGGCTCTCTTAAGTAGCTGTCTCACTTGTGACCATCTAGTTTTCTGGTATGACAAAACACTATTAGGACAGACACTTGGTGTATGTAAGCTTTTTTTACCATAACAGAATAGTTTTGGGATTTTTCTTTGTATAGGTATATAATGTGACCCTGCCTCTTTTAAAGGGCAAAATATCTCTGATGATTTGTTTGATTATAGGAGGTGCCCACTATTCATCTCTGTGTGTAATTGCAATGTTAATTGTAGTGTAAACTTCCTGCAGCTGTTTTCATTCTCAGGCCATGATTATTTAGGATAGCCTCTGCAGGAATAGTCTTAGTGCTACTGTCTCCGCACTATAATTATATAAAATATGAGCTTACTCAATAAGATAAAAAATTGCTTATTTTTTCCATCTAAAAGGGTATCTTGAAGAGCTTGGATAATATCATACTAAAGACTGTTTCAACAACACCAATATCTTCACAACACTAGTCACAAAACAACATTAGGCTCAGCCTTGTACATATAATGTTTATAATGAAAACTGAAAAGTTGCACCATTTTAAAAGTGTGCACTTTCTTAAAAAAAACAAAACTGCAGGATTTAAAAATAGGATGAAGAATGTATTATTTAAAAAGATCTCTCTCTACATTACCATGTAAAGAAAACTAAATCCTCTTCCGTGAGGTAAGTACTGGTACATCCATGGTATGGATGGTATGACTGTATGCTGGCGCCTCTTTAAACAGGGATTGTTTGTATGCTTGTGTTTAAGTTTAAAAAAAAAACATACCGCCTTCTAGTGGTGGGGCAAGGAGGTTACACATTTACATTTTAATGTTTGTACTAGTGTAGTGTGCATGGAGATTGTTGCAAGTAAAAATTCTACTCCTATGCATATATTTGCACACTAGCTCCAACTCTCTCTTTCCTTTTGTGTGGCGCCAAAGATACTTTAAATGCATTACTACCCGGCATGTCCAAAGCCAGTCCTCGAGGGCTACTGTACTGCAAGTTTTAGAGATCTCCCTGCTCCAGAACAGCTGATTTTCATTGCTAGATGATTAACAGGCTTTTTGCTGAACTACAATCATCAGAATTAGCTGTGCTGAAGCAGGGAAACCACTAAAACCTGCAGCGGCCCTCAAGGACCAATTTTCGACATGCCTGAAAGGGATGTCCCTAGATTTAGAAATTAAGTGGCTTGCCCTATCTTAATGCTTTAAATATGCTCAAACTTGACCAATATGTTAGTCTGTAGATACCTTAAGTATTTGGGACAGGGGTGGTCTCATTTCTCCACGGTTGTGGTTGGAAATGATTATGTAGTCGGTGTTGCCATCTTGTTAAAGTGTGTATAAAAAAACAGAACCAGTTTCCTAAATACTTGTAATAATTTCATGTCTCAAGAGCAAATGCTACTGTGTTGTAAGAGGGGTGAGGGGGTGGTGCAGTGGCACATGGTAAGACATGATGGCCCATTTCTTGATTTCCCTTTTGTCCCAGATCCAAACGATCTAAAAAATGTGACTATTAAGTGGTGCAGTCATGCAGGAAGTGATCTCAGATTGGGACAAAGAGTTATGTCATTGTGAGCAGAGGGTTTTTTTGTGAAGTCAACAGTTTTTAAACATTATGTTAGAAGAAAGACAAATTATTTGGGTATCAAGAAGGGGTTTATGTACACTTTTACATTTTCTGATTTTTCTCCTAGTTTTTCCTTGTATGATATGTTCCTTCTTGTCCTATCATTCACTGGATTCCCTAGATTTTAATTAATCGCATTGTCAAACTACAAATGATTGGCTATGAGAATTGAATAGCCCATACATAGGGCTGGGTATTGTTCAAAAATTTTCGGTACCGGTACCAATACCGATACCTTCACTTCGATACCGGTTCCTGAACGATACTTTTTTCGATACCAGTTTTATAATATCAATTCGAAGAAAAAGAAAATTACTCAACATAAAAAAGTACAAATCTTGAGTTTTATTTTAAGCTCTGATTTTTCCATTTACATTTTTCCTCTTACATAAAAAAAAAAAATCAGTGTCTAATATTCACTGTAACATTGTGAGGACCTTTTTACTTAGCAGTTTTACTTTAGAAAAATTACCATGTCTGACAAACAAGCCCGTTGAATGGGATCCTATTGACAGCGCACCGCTGGTATGGGGGGGTCTGAGCGGCTCCGACAGAAAGAATATTGGAAGGCAGGATGAACTGACTGCACTGATTAAGTTTTCAGGTGGATTTTCCCACTTACAAACATAATAAAACTACTTTATTCCCACTGATCACAGCAAATATAGCTGCAAGGCAAATAAAGGATAGAGTAGCTCCGCCCAACGCGCATCAGAGCCACTTTTGCACCGCGCAGCCGGAGCAGCAAAGCTTCTTCAGCCGCGCGTCAGAAGCTGGTACAAGCAGCAAAAAAGGAAGCAGCAGACGTGATTTTGCTTCTCCTGCTGCGTCCAGTTTGAAATTGCAGCATTATTACATTATTACAGCATTACTCCGCTCTGGCTTTGCTCTGCCCACGGGCTGCTGAGAGGAGGATGGTCGCGCTGGTTGCGGTCCGCTCTTCTTGCAGTCAAACACCGAGCAACTTTCTGCTCTTAAATTGCTTACGTCTACTCTACACTATTAGCATCAGTCTTAATAAAGTGAAGCCGCACTTTTGACCTGGGGGGCATTTTAAAGGAGTTCCGCAACGCTCACAACCAGTTCACAACAGATACACATCAACCCTGGCTGTAGGCGTGACCACCTGTGTATTTTTCCTGGATGACGCAATCACGTTAAGTGTTACAGCCAATCACCGAAACTCGGTACCGAAAGACTAGGCATGTTTCGATACTCGGTAGAACCGAAGCATTTCGGTCGGTACCATAAAAGACCCGAAGTTCGGTACCCAGCCCTACCCATACAACAGGTTTGTTGTAGAATTCACACACTGCCTTGGTATTTTCACACTCAAGCTATTTATAATGTGTCTGGACATGACCAACATTTAGCCAATACTCCCGTCTCTTTCTCCAATCAAGACTCTTGATTTATTACCTGAACCTAGTTATAATTAGTGTTGCTCCAATGCCATTTTTTTGGCCCCGATACCGATAACCGATACCTGGCTATGCAGTATTGGCCGATACGATACCATCTGTTTGAAGTTGGTGTGTGTGTGTGTGTGTGTGTGTGTGTGTGTGTGTGTGTGTGTGTGTGTGTGTGTGTGTGTGTGTGTGTGTGTGTGTGTGTGTGTGTGTGTGTGTGTGTGTGTGTGTGTGTGTGTGTGTGTGTGTGTGTGTGTGTGTGTGTGTGTGTGTGTGTGTGTGTGTGTGTGTGTGTATAAGAAGAACTGCATACTACTTGGATGTAAAATAATTTGCCATCATAGCTTTGTCAAGCTGCTGCCTACCTTTGTAAAGCAGGAAAAAGACTTCTACAAAGTAAATCCAGTAGAACTTTTTATTACCCACCTGGAATGGGTGACAATAGTTGAATGACTTGTCTCTCAAAATGGTATTGGTGCCCTATTTGTCGGTACTCGTCGTTACCGATACCACCATTTTAGTGCTGGATCGGGGCCCCCTCCGATACTGGTATCGGTGCAAAACTAGTTATAATCATCTCGTGCAGAGGTTCACAAGCATTTTAGTTGGCAACCACCTAAAATATATAAATACTTAAAATGTATTTATACAGAAATAGTGATCTAGTTATTTCATTTAAAACGTATTTAATTCAATAACTGTGTAATCGATCATTGTGCATGTTTTTATATTTAATGGAACATTTTAATTATTTAATTGAGCATTTCACAATTTGATAGTTTATCTAATATTTGAATCATGTGTAACTCACTTAAATTTAGGGAAAATACTATCCATTCAGGAAAGTTTTACTTAGTTTTAGCTGCCCTGTTCTGTCTTGTCGAGTTCTGCTTTATTTTGAAGATGACACCAAAACAAGTCCAGCGTCCATCACAAACCTTTTATTTCTTGTGTTTACATTCTATCCACTTCCAAGTGCCTAATACAATGGCTCATTGTGCTGCTGTGCATCAGAAGCTGACTAATGGGGAAAGAGGTGGGTGGTGACTGGGTAATAAGCTCACTCATGACCCATGTGAGGAGTTGTGGGTAAAGTGAAATCTGTAAATGAGTGAGCCAATGTGACCTTCTGCTGCCTCCTCTGCTAAGATAAAATATGAGCACATGAGTGCCAGATGTCAGCATGATATAAGTTTTATGTTTAACAGTCATCAAAATAGAGCCAAAAGTTTGAACAGAGTTTTTTATTGTCATTTTTGTTTTTCTGTTGTTGAGAAATTTTAGGCTTTTGTCTTATTTATTTATTTATTTTTTTGGGACAAATACAACTTAAAGCCAAAACGCACTGAATCCAACGATTTTGTGTCTGATCCGACAGAAAACTGTGTCGGACATGATTGTGGCATTTAGTGCTCATTGAAAGTCAATAGGGATGATCACACCAACACGATTTTAGACAAGGGGGCTTGCGTAGCTCCTACTGAGCTGCAATTTCATGGGTCTGACAGGAAGAGAGACGCCTTTTACAAAGTAAAACATCAGCTTTGGGGGAAAATACAAAATGAAATATTTTTATTGTAGAGGGGAAGAGTCAGCTTTGGTCGAACATTGCGTATATAGTAAGCGGGACAGACTCGTGCAAAAACAATGAATGAAACATTAAGAGAAATAATACTTTACCCACGATAAGATTTCAGAAGGACAGAAAACAGATATAGTAAAATAGTGTTCCTCTTTGAGCCCAGCAAAAACCAAATAACCAGGGGAAGACAGAACAGGTAAGTGCTGCGTATCTCACCTCTTTATGAAAAGCAGAAATTCTCTGAGAATCACCTCTCACTGCCGTAGTCCCAATATATACATCACCGCGCAGTGTTTTTTTCTGGATTTCATTTATTTAGACGTAGATATCATTATTTTGTTAATATAGACATATGAACATTGTCTATCTGAAATGCTGCATGACAATTTAAAGTGCTTTACATGAGAAGAAAAGGCAAAGTACCCTGCAGTGGTGTAAAGGCAACACATGTAATTTAAGAGGATAAAAAGGAAAAAAGGAAATTATATTAAAGATAAAATAATTGGAAACAAAAGGGAATGCTACACACATTTAACCTAAACAAAAACATTTGAATGGATAGAAGAAAGGAATTTCTGTAAATTTTTGTGATTTCTTTTTTTTTAAAGTGAAAGTTCACTTTCTGTAAAGATGAATCATGCTCTCCTGGCACTGCTGTACTGCAATGAATAGGAATATTTGAATACTAACCGTCTCAAACTTCTAGAGCAACAGCTCTGCCTTTTTCCTTTGAATGTCTATGCTGTTATCACCTCTACAGGTCTGACAGAGTATGTATTTGCTGTAATTATGTAAATTATAGGAGTGTTTTTCTTGCCCCCTCATTGCACCATCATTTTGTGCTGTTGTCAGCATTTTGTTGATTGATATTTTTGGTAAAAATCGGTGTACTTAAACATTGATGAAGGAATTTAAATGGATTAATTAAGACATTGTTCTCTAGGGTTATACTTTTTGTGGTTCACCTGACAATTGTGCCAAAGATCAAAGATGCACAATTCTAGACAAGAATTAGATCCTTTTTTTCTTTTTTTTTCTTTTTTGCATTTTTTTACAATGATACTATATTTTAAATTTCAATTTTTTTTTTCAATTTTCTTATGTTTTATTTTTTTTAATAAAGCATACTTAAAAATAACAGATCAAACGGTAAAAAAAGAACAACGGTAACAAAAATTGCAGATCTAATGATTTTAGTATCTTATAGGGGATATAAGGCTGAGGTAGGTCATTACAGAAACAGAAGTGAAAGTCCACTAAGGTATTTAAAGGTCAATTGGAAAATTTTACAATTCTATCACATGAGTCATAGGGAACCAGTGAAAACAGGGCGAGTCTACAGCTGAGCTGCTTTTGAAGAAGCTGAAAACCTGAAAGGGAGACCTCCCTAACCCATCCAATCCAGACTCTTTGTTATAAAGGCAAGAAATGTTTTCCCCAAATCAGGTCTGTTTCACACAGAGTTAAGCTTAGATCCCTGCTATAGCTTAAGAACACCAAGGTTCAATGAAAGAACGCAAGCAGTAGAGTTAGAGGTGAAAATTACTTCATATAAATTAAGAAAAAAAGTAAAAATACAGGTGCTGGTCATAAAATTAGAATATCATGAAAAAGTAGATTGATTTCAGTAATTCCATTTAAAAAGTGAAACTTGTATATTATATTCATACATTACATACAAACTCATATATTTCAGATGTTTATTTTGTTTAATTTTGATGATTACAAATGACAACAAATGAAAATCTCAAATTCATCATATCAGAAAATTAGAATATTACTGAAGACCAATAAAAACAAAGGATTTATAGAAATGTTGGCCAACTGAAAAGTATGAACATGAAAAGTATGAGCATGTACAGCACTCAGTATTTAGTTGGGCCTCCTTTGGCCTGTATTACTGCAGCAATGCGGCGTGGCATGGAGTCGATCAGTCTGTGGCACTGCTCAGGTGTTATGATAGCCCAGGTTGCTCTAATAGTGGCTTTTAGCTCTTCTGAATTGTTGGGTCTGGTGTATTGCATCTTCTTCTTCACAATACCCCATAGATTTTCTATGGGGTTAAGGTCAGGAGAGTTTGCTGGCCAATTAAGAACAGGGATACCATGGTCCTTCAACCAGGTACTGGTAGCTTTGGCACTGTGTGCAGGTGCCAAGTCCTGTTGGAAAATGAAATCTGCATCTCCAAAAAGTTGGTCAGCTGCAGGAAGCATGAAGTGCTCTAAAACTTCCTGGTATGTGGCTGCGTTGACCCTGGACCTCAGAAAACACAATGGACCAACACCAGCAGATGACATGGCACCCCAAACCATCACTGACTGTGGAAACTTTACACTGGACTTCAAGCAACGTGGATGAAGTGCCTCTCTTCTTTTCCTCCAGACTCTGGGACCTTGATTTCCAAAGGAAATGCAAAATTTACTTTCATCAGAGAACATGACTTTGGACCACTCACCAGCAGTCCAGTCCTGTTTCTCTTTAGCCCAGGCAAGACGCTTCTGACGCTGTCTGTGGTTCAAGAGTGGCTTGACACAAGGAATGCGACAGCAGAAACCCATGTCTTTCATACGTCTGTGTGTGGTGGTTCTTGAAGCACTCACTCCAGCTGCAGTCCACTCTTTGTGAATCTCCCCCACATTTTTGAATGGGTTTTGTTTCACAGTCCTCTCCAGGGTGCGGTTATCTCTCTTGCTTGTACACTTTTTTCGACCACATCTTTTCCTTCCCTTCGCCTCTCTATTAATGTGCTTGGACACTGAGCTCTGTGAACAGCCAGCCTCTTTAGCGATGACCTTTTGTGTCTTGCCCTCCTTGTGCAAGGTGTCGATGGTCGTCTTTTGGACAACTGTCAAGTCAGCAGTCTTCCCCATGATTGTGTAGCCTATAGAACTAGACTGAAAGACCATTTAAAGGCTTTTGCAGGTGGTTTGAGTTAATTAGCTGATTAGAGTGTGGCACCAGGGGCCATCAATTTTGAACCTTTTCACAATATTCTAATTTTCTGATATGATGAATTTGAGATTTTCATTTGTTGTCATTTGTAATCATCAAAATTAAACAAAATAAACATCTGAAATATATGAGTTTGTATGTAATGTATGAATATAATATACAAGTTTCACTTTTTAAATGGAATTACTGAAATCAATCTACTTTTTCATGATATTCTAATTTTATGACCAGCACCTGTAAGCCTCTCACAGTGGACATGCACCTACAATGACCATTTCAGAACCCTTCTGATCCCTTCTAAGTTGGAGAACTTGCAAAATAGCAGGGTGTTCAAATGCCTTCTCACATATACAGCAGTTTAATTGTTGAGTAATGTTGCACAATCTCATTTAAGTTCATGTGATTGTGAGGGTACATGTGCTCTATATAACTATAATTATAGTGGATAGAAAAGGTTTACAACCTAATTTGTCTTGTAATCACAGAAAAGGCATAAGTAGGTTCATGATTTTGGTTATAGCAACCAGTGACAAGTACTAAGATTCATTAAAATATGTCAACTTTTCTTTTGATTATCTTTACAAACATTTCACCACTTATTGAGGTTAAAATGTTTTTTTGTTTTACAGACTGACCCTGTGGGAGTAGTGAAATGACCAGCCAGTATCCCAGCCATGGAGAGAGATCCCCAGATAAAAAGCCAGCTACTGTGGCTCCTAAGCTCCATGTCCAGCAATCGCCATCAAAGGAGGCCATTACCATCCACTTCTCAGCTTTCGGGAAGGAAGAAGATGAAGAGGAAGAAGGTCTGTTTATTACAGCCTCCTCTACAGCCTCAGCTCCTCTGGACGGCTCAAATATTGTGACTGCTCTGGAAGCGAGTGAGGAAATGTTTGAAGGGGAACCCCTTGACTCTGCATCTCCTACCAGGTTTTCGCCCAGTTCAAGTAATCACTCTAACCGTTCACCACAAACCCTTTCTTCAACTGTTCCTGAACACAAGGCCTCAACTGCCAACTCTTCTCCCATAAAATCTCTGAGCTTTCCCTCCACATTAGGTTTGGTAAAGGCACTACCCCCAGATGATGGCGCCTCCTCTGCTCCGACCATAAGACATAGGCAACTTATGAAAAGTCTCGTCAAATCCTTGTCATCAGATACATCCCAGGACTCATCCTCTTCTTCATCATCCTACCGTCTTCCAGAGTCTCGCCTTAACCTGCAAGTCTTAAAGCAGTTTGCACAATCAAGAATGCAGTCTGCTTCCATGGCATCAATTAGCGATTCTAAAACTGCCCCCTCCTCACCGTTGACTTCGCAAGAGAACCGAAGTTTCTTTAAAGTCTCTGAGGTCGAAGCACGATTTGAGGATACCAAGCGGCGTCTCACTGAAGCTATTTCTGAACCATTGCAGCTTCTCAGTAAGATCATAGATGAGAAGAGCGCTAGCAGCATTTATCGGCCTAAGGGGCTCTCATCCAGTGCCACAGAACTCTCTACGCTCACTTCTCTGAATGGTAACCAGGAGAGCAACAACAACTACTGCATCAAAGAAGAAGGGGGTGAAGATGAGGCAGAAAGCCCCAACAGCTGGACCGCGGTTGGAGCCGAATCACCAGCTGGCCCCTGTTCCAACACTAAAAGCCCCAACAATCTATCCTTACTTTCCATGTCTGCCCTCGCTAAATTGGACGAGGAAGACTTTTGCATTTTGAACAATGAGGACTTTGAATCTTGCACTGACACAGAGGGTGAAGGTATTGAAGGATCTAACAACACTCTACCACTAAGTAGTTGTTCAGACCCAAGCTGTGATGATGAATATGAAGGTTTTGAGTCAGCACCTGATGTCCCACACTATACTCTCGCCGTCCTGACGTTTCTACTTTATACATGCTTTGTTTTACCACTTCCAAGCTACGTGGGGGGAGTACTACTTGGGATTGGACTCGGGTTCTTTCTAGCCATCGGTATTGTTTGGCTCACGGGGCCAAAACGCTCTGGAGGGGATGTGAAATATTCCAGAAATCACAGAGAGCTGTGGAATGTCACCAAGATGGATGTTAAAGAGCCTGAGTCCTATAAGGTCAGTCAGCTTTACTCTTTGTTTTGCATATTTGATGTCAAATATTCAGAAGAGGTTTGTTTTTTTAGATAGTTTTTAATACATAAACTATTCTTATTTACCACAGTTTATCTTGAAATGCAACATGAATGTACACTCACCGGCCACTTTATTAGGTACCCCATGCTAGTAACGGGTTGGACCCCCTTTTGCCTTCAGAACTGCCTCAATTCTTGGTGGCATAGATTCAACAAGGTGCTGGAAGCATTCCTCAGGGAGTTTGGTCCATATTGACATGATGGCCTCACACAGTTGCCGCAGATTTGTCGGCTGCACATCCATGATGCGAATCTCCCGTTCCACCGCATCCCAAAGATGCTCTATTGGATTGAGATCTGGTGACTGTGGAGGCCATTTGAGTACAGTGAACTCATTGTCATGTTCAAGAAACCAGTCTGAGATGATTCCAGCTTTATGACATGGCGCATTATCCTGCTGAAAGTAGCCATCAGAAGTTGGGTACATTGTGGTCATAAAGGGATGGACATGGTCAGCAACAATACTCAGGTAGGCTGTGGCGTTGCAACGATGCTCAATTGGTACCAAGGGGCCCAAAGAGTGCCAAGAAAATATTCCCCACACCATGACACCACCACCACCAGCCTGAACCGTTGATACAAGGCAGGATGGATCCATGCTTTCATGTTGTAGACGCCAAATTCTGACCCTACCATCCGAATGTCCCAGCAGAAATCGAGACTCATCAGACCAGGCAACGTTTTTCCAATCTTCTATTGTCCAATTTCGATGAGCTTGTGCAAATTGTAGCCTCAGTTTCCTGTTCTTAGCTGAAAGGAGTGGCACCCGGTTTGGTCTTCTGCTGCTGTAGCCCATCTGCCTCAAAGTTCCACGTACTGTGCGTTCAGAGATGCTCTTCTGCCCACCTTGGTTGTAACGGGTGGTTATTTGAGTCACTGTTGCCCTTATATCAGCTCCAACCAGTCTGGCCATTCTCCTCTGACCTCTGGCATCAACAAGGCATTTCCGCCCACAGAACTGCCGCTCACTGGATGTTTTTTCTTTTTCGGACCATTCTCTGTAAACCCTAGAGATGGTTGTACGTGAAAATCCCAGTAGATCAGCAGTTTCTGAAATACTCAGACCAGCCCTTCTGGCACCAACAATCATGCCACGTTCAAAGTCACTCAAATCACCTTTCTTCCCCAAACTGATGCTGGGTTTGAACTGCAGGAGATTGTCTTGACCATGTCTACATGCCTAAATGCACTGAGTTGCCGCCATGTGATTGGCTGCTTAGAAATTAAGTGTTAACGAGCAGTTGGACAGGTGTACCTAATAAAGTGGCCGTTGATTGTATATATAAATGGCTTTTCTTTAAATTTTCTGTCTAAAATTTTTTTTTGGTCTCATTTTTTATGACTATAATTTAGAAAAAGTTTTATGACTGTAGCTATTGCTGCTGTTATACCTTGTTTTAATGTTGTAAGGCAACAGATGATCATTTTATTTTTTTAAAGGTTATTTAAAAATATCTTTTAAAATAAGAAATGTACGCAATGTCCCAATAATACGTCCAAATAACCCCCCTTTTGTTGAGGACAGTTGAAGTAAAAAAATTTTTTTGAATTTCAGATTTCAGCACCAATATGGTGGAGTGGCGCCTTATTTAGGTGAAAGTCATATGTTTTTTCTCTCAGGGTTGGATGAATGAGATCTCAAACTATGACCCAGAAACTTACCACGCCACACTGACTCACTCTGTGTTCGTCCGCCTGGAGGGTTCCATCATTCGTCTTTCCAAACCCAACCACAACATCGCCCGCCGTGCCTCACACAACGAACCAAAGTCTGACATGAGCTTTGTCAGTCAGAAGATTTATGACCTCAGCAATAGCAAGGTATGCTCTCGCACTACTGTTTTGCCATATTTATCAAAACATAATCTAAAGCACCACTGAAAAGAACCTGCAAAAAAGATACTTATCACCATTAGTCACACAAAAAATATTCTACTGCTTGAAAAAGGCAAGAAATGTTTAATTGACAAGTCTATTTTACCCACAATCTTTTATCAGGTCTGTTTAGTGCCTCAAAATCTTGCCAGGAAGAGAGTGTGGAACAAAAAGTACCCAATCTGCATCGAACTTGGCAGACAAGATGACTTCATGTCAAAGGCAGAAGATGAAAGGTCTGAAGCCAGTGAGTCGTCGACTTCTGAGCTTAATGGTGAAAGAACCAGTGCGGCACAGGACCGACGGTCCTCTGTGACCAGAAGAGACCGGACCATCTTCTTGTTTGGGCGGACTGGGAGGGAGAAAGAGGAATGGTTCCAGCGGTTTCTGTCAGCCTCTAATGTCAGAGCTGATCTGAAGCAAGTTCCCTGTTTTGGAACCAGTAAAAAAGGTAGATGATAGATTTCTTGAAACACTGTCCTATATTTATGGGTTTATACCAGTTTAAATTGAGATCCATGTAAGATTAAATAAAAATGGGAATTTTCCTTTGCCACAGCCTCTCACAGCCGCAGCAGCAGCCGCAGTAGTCTTGATGAAGTCCTGGCACCACCGCTCAAATCAAGAGACTCAACGACCTCCTTGATGACAGCAGGCAGTGCCAAAAACAAGCTGCCATTAGACTATAGTGTGTACATGGCCTCCGTAATGCCAAAAAATCAAGCGGTTGGTCTCCCATCTTCCAGCTCTTCTCAGAGTCTACAGAGCACCCCCGGAGCTGATAAAAAGGTAGAATACCTTTACGGTTTATAATATGGGAACATTCTGTCTTTCTGAAGCTATAAACTGATCACCTCATCTGGATGTGTGCCCGTATGAGCTAAAAGTATAATTGAATGCATCATATTTAACCTTTTAAACTGCTGTTGATGGGAACTCTACGTTTAGCTTCAGAACAGCACTACAGCTCAGGCGCAGCCCAGGGGAGAGGAGGAGGAATCTGTTGCCTGGGTGAACGCGGCTCTCGGCAGGCTCTTCTGGGACTTCCTGACCGAGCCCTACTGGGTTGAAGAAGTCTCCAAGAAAATTCAGATGAAGCTCAGCAAGATTCGAGTGAGTGTAACGACCAATTCCAGGCCTTTGTTCTTGAATAACAAGAAAACCCTTTCTTCACATTTTAATGCCCCATTTTGAACCAAGCTAGTTCTCTACAGCACAGGCGGATGGCTAAATACATGCAGTTGGACCCATGTTTCCAACTATTAAGCTGAGTGCAGTCATGCAGTGAAATTCTTTTGCTGTTCTGTTTGTTGGCTGAGCAGTATCTCTCGTGTCCACTCTTTATACTTTTTTAAATCTAGTTGTACTTTAAAAATCAGTTGGTGCCTCTAAGTGACTATTTCCTCAGACTGGCTGTGTGCTTGTGTCTCTTTCAGCTGCCTTACTTTATGAATGAGCTCACCCTGACAGAACTGGACATGGGGACAAGCACCCCCAGAATCCATCAAGCATCTGCACCTTATATTGACTGTCGAGGCAAGAGACACACACAACACAACACAACAAAAATCTATGCATCTGAGATGCATAGATTTTTGTTCTTCATTTTTATCAATTTAAAGCTGAATTTGGTTGCTGTGCTTTTGAAAGAACCTTTTTTACTTATTGATCTAAAGTGTTTTCTCAGATGTACTGTCAAAGTCAAAGTCAAAAGTCCAAAGTCAAAGTCAAAAAGCCTTAATTGTCATTATATACTGTGACAGATACAATGAGATTTGGGACTTCCATAACAGCTACCGTGAAATAAAAATAAAAATAAAAAATATATAAAAAATATATAGATATATTAAAAGGAAAGGAAATGTAAACAGTTACGAAAAATATATATAAATATATTAAAAGGAAATGTAAACAGTGAAAAGGAAATGTAAACAGTGAAAAGGAAATGTAAACAGTGAAAAGGAAATGTAAACAGTGAAAAGGAAATGTAAACAGTACTGGCACAGATTGTGGGGGGGGGGATAGTGCAAAACAGGTGTAAAGTGACCGACAGTGCAGGTCGGAGTTGAGGGGGGGCAATGGCTTGGGGAATAATGCAAACCAGGTGAAAAGTGTCCGTCAGTGCAGGTCGGAGTTAAGGGCGGCAATGGCTCGGGGGAAGAAACTGTTCTTGAGTCTGTTTGTCCTGATCCTCATTTGCCTGTAGCGCCTTCCAGAGGGCAACAGGTCAAACAGGGTGGAGCCAGGGTGGGAGCTGTCCTTGGAGATGGCCCTGGCTCTGCTGAGGCACCGGGTGGAGTAAATGTCTGCCAGGGAGGGGAGAGGGCGACCGATAATCCTCTGCGCTGCCTTTATCACCCTCTGCAGCCTCTCCCTGTCGGCAGCGGTGGAGCTGCCGAACCATACTATGATGCAGTAGGTCAGCAAGCTCTCGATGGAGGAGCGGTAGAAGGCCAGCAGCAGATCAGAGTTGAGGTTATACCTTCTGAGGATTCTCAGGAAGTGTAACCTTTGCCGGGCCTTCTTGATGATGGTGGTGATGTTCTCTGACCAGGTGATGCGGTCAGAGATGTGGACGCCGAGGTATTTGACGCGGTGAACCCTCTCCACCTGCTCGCCGTTGATGAAGAGGGGAGCTGGCTCAGGGCTGTGCCTCCTGAAGTCTATGATGAGCTCGTTGGTTTTCTTGGTGTTCAGAGTCAGATTGTTCTCTGAGCACCAATCAGCCAGCTTCAGGACCTCCTCTCTGTAGGCGGCCTCGTCGCCCCTGGAGATGAGACCGACCACAGCGGTATCGTCGGCGTACTTGATGATCCGGTTGTGGTTGTGGATCGGTCTACTGAACTAGGCATAAGCAGAACACTGACAGTGGGGCAAGGATATTCATACTAGTCCAATCCAAGTTAAAATGTAGCTTCACCAACTTCACAAGAAAGGCTTATTGTGGATGGTATATTCACAAATCAGTTGGTCCCATTCTTATTGGTATCAAATGTTGAAATAGTTCAACATTTGGCAAAGGAAAACTGCAGAGGCACTCCCCCTCATTCAGCTGCTGACTTGATGGGTTTGTCTGTTTAACTTATCAAGATGTCAGATTTAGCAGAGTGTATCACAGAGTTAGGTTTCACTCTGAAATCATGCCATTAGAGCAGTGATCCACTGCAGCATGCCAGAATTAAAACTTTATTTTATCCCTGCATGGGTGTCCCTTCGTGAACTAGAACATTATTGAAAAGTTAATTTAGTTTTTCACTGATTGAAACACATTGATTGTACACAGAAGAATGTTTTCAAGCTTTAATTCTCCTAATTATAATTATTTTCCACCTACACATAATAAAATGCGACATTTCATGATAATCCATCAGATCAATAAACATTTTTAATGGAAAAGTGTGTTCAAAGGGTACTTTTGATCTGATGAATTATCCTATTTAGAGCACATATTATAACTTTACATAATTTGCAGAGAGAATGATTATTTTTACAGTAAGCAACAGGAAGCTGTGGTCTCCTTGACAGAACTGGAGCCGATGTGATTTAGAATCAACCTGAAGTCTGTGTGCACGAACCTGAGGTTTGACTTGGCTGTCAGGTTTCATCAGAGCTACATCATAACAAACTATGAGAAAAGCAAACTTAAAACTGATATGGATAAAAGAAAAATAACCTAAAGACTCCCCCAGAAACACAATTAATTTATAAAAAAGTAGCTTCAGCAAATCAAGCTGATAAACAGACATTTTTTTCACTAAAATAAATTATTTCTTAGAAAAGGAACATATATTAATGGAGAGCTAACAACACCTCAACAGTCAGTTGTCAGAGACAGGCATTGAGTCTCACTTTTAAAACAGTCAATATTTAGTACGTACCAGTCGAGCAAAACAAGTTTTGAAACTCCCTCTGTGTTTATCAGGCCGTCGGGTCAGAGTGTCATGGTTCTTATTTGTGTTAAAAGTACAAACGATTGTCCGATCTAAGATTGCCATCACATCGTCACTGACCAACAGAACGCTGGCAAAGGGCAGCATTAAAGTATTAGAAGATTCATATGGCTGCAAAGGCTACAGTAAGGATGTTGAAAGTGATGCTGTGATTGATTACAGAAATGTTACATAGGGAGTGCTTTTAGGGTGCAGCATAGATTAGCCTTTAGCGCATAACCAGGCTGGATGTCTGCATCATAAGTTGAAATTAACCCACCATGTAGAGCTAATTTGGGGCTTGGATTTTTTCTAAAATGGTACAAATGTTGATGATTAGTTTTGTTTAATATGGTTGCAAACCTTGTAAAATGCAGTGCATCACATTTAGTAGTTAATGGAGCATTCAGATGTGGAGCCTAGCTTTGCATCCTTTTTGTCATCATTATACAGTCTGTCCCTTAATTGCCTTTACATTGGCTGTTGTCTTCCCTGTTTTTCCCTCTGCTGTGGATTTTCTTTTCATCCTCTTTATGTGAATATTCTCTCCTCACATCTCAGTTTTCACTCTTCTACTCGGCGCCATGAGTCACTGCCTCATTTTTATCACCATAGCTCTCATATAACCCTTTAATGAGAGCAGGAGTTGATTGCATCCCTACCCAGATAGCAAAAGCTTTTACTTATTTACCAAAACAGTTTGACTTGAAAGACCGTTAGACCGTTTCTCAGACACCACCCACAGAGTGTCCATTTCTACTTCTAAAAAATGACTCTTTACACATTTGAATGAAGCTCACTAAAGGCTTTTTGATGCTCATCCTCATGAATGTCTCTTTCTGCAGTTGAACCTTCAGTTTAACAATCAGTTCGCATGAGCTGCAAAATCCTCAAACAAAACAAAACTGTTATTTTTAAAATAAATCAAAATGGCAGAAGTGCTTCTTTTCTCAGCACATCTTATGTTGGTCTTTTGTTTTTCTTGTAAGCTCATTCCTGGAACAAGATCACTGATTACAGTGGATCAATGAACCTTGTGATCATTTCTCTTTCTCATCAGTTTTTTTCTTTTAACTCAATCTACATATTGAACTGCACCCCTTGTAAAACCTCTCCTCTCTCAACATGACGTAGTGTCTTATTTTATAAGTTTTGTGGGTTTTTTTCTTCCTTTTTTTTCTTTAATTATTTTCTCATCTGAGTGCATATTTTTAGTCGTTTCTTTCCAGAACCATGTAAGAGAACGCCCTTGATGCAGCAAGCTGGTCTCTGTGCCATGCAACCCTCCCCCACTAACCTGATAGTCAGACAAGACTCAGCGGTCTGTGCAGAACCTACTTGTTCATCCTGCCTGACTGCTTTAAGGACTTTCTTTTTCTTTTTATACACACTGCTTTGCAAGTTCTAATTTGAGTTTACTTCAGGCTTTGATTTTTTGTTCCTTTTAACTTTCCTTTCCTCTTTGCGCTGTTCTCACCTCTGACTGCTATTATATGGCTCACCCCAGTTGACGTCATTGCCACAGAAAAGTTTATTTATTTTTGGTTATTAGCTATAAGTCCATTCTCCACAGCTCTAAAGCACTTAAGGTGTATTAATTTACAATAAATGTATTAATCCTGCATTTCATCTATATTAAATAGCTATAGGTTTAAGCCCTCATAACCAGTAAGTGGTCGTATTCCATTTAACTTGCTTGTTCAGAATGAAAGCAGCAACCTCTGTGTGACCTTGGTGCACATTTGCTTCCTTAAGTTGGCAGCAATGCTCAGAAGCTTGAAGAAGTTTATCAGCTTAATCAGTGAGCTACTATTTTTATGCATTGCCTGTTGTAGCTTGAATGAGAAACTTATAGAACAATTATCTAAATATTATATACATTTTCAGTGTAACTAACAATTTTGATCTGCACCGATTAGATGTTCTGTGCATGTATTGTTTTTGAGGAATTCATAATTTTGATGTTGTAGTTGTAGGTATGATCTTTCATTTTGCATATAAAAATATGCCTTGGCTGTTTAACTTTATCCAGTTAAATTACCCAGTCTTCAAGCTATTGTTAGCTGTGACATCTAATTAAATTGCCTTATTTATGATGCATAAAGTTATGAAACAGCCATGTATGTCTTTTTTGCTTTTTCTGGAATTTAAATTCAGAGTTTGCTGCCATCAAGTGGAAGAAACAGGAACTATAAACATTTATAGGGCGCCTCATACTGTACCTTAGCACTGTACACTTTTTTTTTTGTCAATAAAAGGCTCAAAGAAACTGACATAATCTTGTGATACTGTGAGAGAAATTCAGCCTGTGAAATGTTCGGACATCGTCACAGTTTAAATTCACATTTCTGGGGCGTAAGGTATACTAGGCTATATGGTACAGCTCCACTAGGGAAGGAAAGGAGCACTTTTTCTTTTAAGCCGTAGAGGGACTGAAATATCCTCCCCTCACCCTGCAGCCGCAACAAGTGACCTCCACCATCAGGTATCAACATCGATATATTTAGCTTGATCAGTGACTTCCTCACCACCACATCCTAGGAGGTGAGAATAGAAAATCTTGCATCTGCCCCACTCATCCTAACCACTACGACACCACAAGGTTGCGTTCTCAACCCTGCCCTTTGCAGCTTATTCTCACACACTTTTTTGCTATTGATAGAATAAACATGGTTGTCACGTTTGTATCTAACAATGATAAGACACTAGAAAGAACAGGCCCACAATCTGACAGTGTTGCTCCAAGTACAGTTTTGACTGAACACCTGCAAGTCCAAAGAGCTCATAGTGGACTAAAGGAGGTCCAGAAGGACTTGACACACTCCATTCTGCATACATGGGGAGGTGAGTGTGTGGACGGCATAAAGTTTCTGGGCAGACACATTTCATCTGACCTCTGCTGCAATAGGAACACCTACCCGGGGGAGAAGAACAATATCAATTCTTTCTTCCCAACTGAAATTGACTTGTCTCTGTCCACAGCTTCACAAACTTTCATGGAGTCACAATTGAAAGCATCCTATGTCTCAGTGTGGCTGTCTGGCATGAGAGCTGCAGAGCACAGGAGAGAAAGGACAGACGGCACAAGGGGATTGGGAAGTGTAGTCTACTAGACATTTGACTCGTTTAGGCGGCTGTTCAGGAATCTTTCTTCAGAAATAAATAGACCCAGAAACAGCGTCTTTCCCAAAACTGTGAAGACAGTCGTACCCCTCCTTGCAGAATTTAACATACCCTGCTGATAAATTCAACAAACCACTGGCCCATAGACTGTTTCTACTCAAGCTGCACTTGAGAGATAAATCAGTAATACCTAAGTATTGTCCATGTATTTCGTTTTCTACTTCATGTGCATTTTTTAAATTTGCAACTCGGTAGACTTGACCAAAGCATTTTGCACTGCATTCAGTCTTTTACTCATTCACTCACACACTGATGGTGGCAAACTACATTTTAGCCACCGCTGTCCTGGGGCTCACTGACGGATGTAAAGCTGCCGTACACTGGCGCCACTTTCACCCCAGTGGCTCGGATTTTAACATGTGTCAAAACTTCATTATGTTTACATGATGATGATATACTTTTTTCCCTCTGCGACAGTGGTTTTATTACAAAATACAAATAAATAAATGGTGCATAGGGGGTACATACAGTGCGTCCACATATATATTCCCTTATTTATCAGGATTATTATACAGGGTTATTGCACAGGATATTAAATTGTAAATGTACATTAGATATTGCACAGGTTATTGCCGTTATAGTGTGGGATTGTAGCGTCTGATGAGAGCAGGGGTGAATGACCTGTGGTAGCGCTCTTTTTTTACAAACGGTGTAAAAGTCTTTCACTAAAGGAGCTGCTTAGCTCCTCTACAGTCTGGTGCATGGGGTGAAAGGTGTTGTCCATAATTCCTCCACTGAGTCCGGAGTGCAGCCCAGGACAGAAATGGCCCTTCTTACCAGCTTATTCTGTCCTGCCCTGCGCTGCCTGGGGCCCAGCAGATGAAAGCGTAGAGGAGGCCACCACAGAGTTAAAGAAGGTTTTAAGCAGGGCCTGCTCATTCCAAAGGACCTCATCCTCCTCAGGAGGTGGAGTGGGCTCTGGCACCTCTTGTACAGGGCATTGGTGTTATGAGTCCAGTCCAGTTTATTCTTGACGTGAACACCCACATATTTGACACTTTTTCTTTTAGGAAATAAGGCCCAAAAAAATAATATCATTACTAAAAGTCTTATTAGTTTTGCTTTCCTTTTTGGTTTCCTTTCCATTTTAGTCATTCTCCTCATTTACATGGACAAAAGTAATCTAAATAAATGTCCTAAACATGTGTGCTGTATGTATTTCTGTCTAAATCTTGATCTGATTCATCAGGTGTGGTTTATGCTGATTGACAATCAAACTGCATGTGTGCAAATGTTTGACAGGATAAAGTAAGTCTGAATGAGGCACGCTGACCTCAGTGCATGTATGCACCATGCATCAACATGCCATATCTGTTCCTTGTCTGGCTAATCGATCTGGCTAGCTGTTATCAGAATATTCAGATTGGCTGACTCATACTTAGTCTGAGTGACCGTTTTATTGCAACTACTAATGATTATGTAATCAAGCTGTTATTTGTGTTGTTTTAACCAGAATACGTTTTAATCTGATTGTGAAATTTTGTGTGTAATCAAGGCTAATGATACGTTTTAACCTCTGTTTTCTTTTACCCTTTCCTATCTTTTTCTTTCCGTTCTGAGATATTGCTTCATCTATTTATTTTCTCTTTGCTTACTTTAATATTCCTTGTTTCTTCTCCTTCTCTCCTCCACAGACAGCTGCTGCCAAGCCATAGAATAAGCTTAGAGTTCAGTGTAATAACTGAATTTGGAGGACATTTTATTGGAAGTTAGATTTGGTTAAATGTTGTCATGTGATTTCATTTAGCTTTAGTCACTGGAGCTGCCAAAGTCTGCACAATATACTGTATAATAGGTGCTATACTTTACCAACGATTTAAGCCAAATGAACTTGGCTAATTAAATGAGAGAGATATACCTCATTCCCCTAGGCAGAGGTGTCAGATGTAGTCACATTCTTTACATAAGTAAAAGTCGCACACTTGTGTTAAAAAATAAAAAGACCTTTACAAAGTAAAAGTACCGAATAAACTCCTTTACCTAAATGAATAAGAAGATATTGCTGGCTACTTTAGACCTTTTTAAAACATCAAACACATCACAATAACAATGAAATGTATTTATTTTTATTTCTAAATGGGACTGCATTGGCATTGTTCTGGTTAGGAGTGTCCAAAAATATGAAGACCTGTAAAATAAAGTGACAAATCTAAAAGAGCATGAGTAATCTTGGAGCTGCAGTAGAACTGCTGAAAATGGATTGTGCTGAAAACGGAATGGACACTTCAGTTGCCATATTGCATTTGTGTATTTTTTATTTTTGTTTATAAGTATCTAACAATTTTTTTTAAAGTATTTTCTTCTTTTTGTGTTTTTAATTGATTTAGGTCATCATACCATCAAAGAAAGCCCTGTTTCTATAGCAGTTGAACCATTATACTAATAAAAAAAAAAAAACAACAACTTTAAACTAGCTTGCATATGTGCAAAGAGCTCCTAGGTTAGGGTTGGGAATTGAAAAGATTTTCACGATTCCGATTCCCTTTTCGATTCTATGAAACGATTCGATTCTTTATCGATTCTTTTTTCGATTCCAATTTGGGGGAAAAAGGAGAACAAACAGTTTGATTATCAGCATCAACTTTGTTTACTTAACTATTGCACAATCTTACAAAATCAACAAGATCAAGATGTCCACAGGAAATGTGAAACTGGAGTAACATCTGTGTTTAAATGAAAAATGAATACAAGAACAAACTTAATAACCAACAATGTCTAATAACAAATGATGGGATAATAACCTATTTTAAATAACAAAAAATACTAATTATAAAACAGTAGTAGGGAAAATTAACAGTTATTTTGCTGAAAGATGAGCATATCTGCTTTTTATGGAAGGATACGGGATCTTTCAGCGCTTAAGGCGTCTCCAGCCGTGGAGAACACCCTCTCAGATGGGGTGGAGGAAGCCTGCACACAGAGGTAGTTTTCAGCCAGTCCAGATAGCAAGGGCAGCGTATCTTGCTTGTTCCACCGCCACAGTGTGGCGCTATCCCTGCAGGGGATGGAGGGCAAGCTTTTATAGAGCTGGATTTCCTGATCCACCCTCTGGGCTAAGGAAAGACGGGGCTTTGATTCACAAAGTGACCGCAGCTCGTTGTCTTCCTCCTCGAATAGTTCTTCCAACTTGCGTAACTTGCGTAACTTACGTAAAAAACGTGACGTAAGTCGTGCTCCCCAGAGCCGGCGCTCTAGGCTCTGGTGCTGCGGGAATCGAAAAAAGAATCGTTCAGCGAGCTGCCAAACGATGCCATGGAATCGGAAAATATGGAACCGGTTCTGAACAGGAACCGGTTTTCGATTCCCATCCCTATCCTAGGTTATAGCTTTTATTCATTTTATTTAAGAAATGTTTAATAAATTGAACTTATTTCTTTATCTCGTGGGACATGTTTTTTTGCCATAGTTTAGTCGCACATAAAGAAACTGAAGGCCGTATATCATTTGAAGGTATTCCATGTTGAGAAAAAGATTTTTACGCTTTTATCTTGTCTTTAAAAAGATGAAATGCATTATTGACCAAAATACTGTTTCATTGTAAATCCATCAAAGTGGGATCAGCTGGGTCACTTTAGCAAATAAACATGTGAATGGGAGGGTTTATACATAAAAAAAAAAAAATAAATGGATAAATAACTGTATCACTACTAACCAGAAAAGTTTAAAGAAAAAATATATAATTGGGAAAAAACTGTTATAACATTAAAACAACATCCAAAAAAAAACAATGAAATAAAAAAAATGATTAACTTTTATATAGATAAATTCAAGTTTATATCATTGTGTTAAGGTCAGCAATGTCAGGGTATTCATCCAGCCACTTTGCGGCAAAGACTGCTGCTTAACTTGCGATTTAAAGACTACAACTTTTGCACTTTTTAATTTTGAAAGACAAAAGAAAATTCTTCAGTTACAAAAATCATATTGCATTTCCCTCTGTGACTTTAAATGAACTTAAAATGCCTAGAGTCTTTGGACTCAGATATACAGTGAGCCTCTATAGATTGCTGCTTCTTTGACAGTGTCATTATTGAAGATATGCAATAGTTATAGTCCACTTTAAATGCGATATCGGGAAACCATACAGTCTTGAGCTCATTTATACCTGTATTCAGCCCGTCTCCATGGTAACATGTTAGTGGAAGGTGTGAAGGGTGTTTTAGGCGTCTAACATATACTAGATAAACAGCTAGCGTCTGTAATCACATTTATTGGTGTTCTTCTTAAATATTTCTAATGTAGACTTTACATTTTTCAGGTCTATGGTTTGACTTAGAGGTCTCCTACAATGGCTCCTTCCTGATGACTCTGGAAACCAAGATGATTCTCAATCGTCTGGGAAAGGATGGAGAAAGTCTCCGCTTGGGGGAATTTGGCAAAGAGGGGTAAGATGGATGAAATCTGTCATAACAGACATTTCAGAATTGCTTTGTTTGCATTAAGTGTTACATACGTCTCGTTCTGGGAAAGCATTGCCTCTCAACTTATTACTAAGTGTTCAAAATCTTTTGTGTTTTTCATCCCTTGTTTAATCTTTCTTCTCCTTCCTGCTACTCTTGTCTTTTTCTGCGGCTGGTAATTGGATGTTTCCTCCCTTGGTGAGTTCTGCTCAACTGTCAGTCTAATTGTTGGATTATCTAACACCTTCTAAAACTTCATGTGTTCGATAATTATTACTTTGATTGTCAAAACAACAAATTCTCTAATATTTGTCTGTTAAATTACTTCTCAGCAATAGCTAGTTACCTGCAGTTCAAATACAGTGAAACCCTGGCCGTTTCTCAAGTCACAAAAACTTGAGTGTGGACTTGTGTACACGCCAAGTATGTTCTTGAGAAGAACCCAGGAAAGTGTGGACTCTGGGAGAACGGGAGCACGCAGGATAAATAGGGGTCAATTGGAACAGGAGCATGCTCGACTTTCACCTCCTGTTATTAATACTTTATTGTCTCTATATAAAGTAAATTCTTACTTTTTTATTTATTGGGGGAATAATAGTTAACACAGTCAGATAAACACGAATCAAATGAACATTTTGCCAAATAGAACAAAAAACTCTCCATCAGAGCCAGCGGTCCTTCACACACGGCTAGGCCAAGAAAGGGCTGCTGCAGATGGGCTAGGATTAGACCTGGCTGCCGTTACTCTCGGAGCTCTGCTGGTTTGCCGCAGTGCTCTCAAATTTGCAGATTTTTTTTTTATAAATTTCGCTTTAAGTTAGTAAATAGGCCATATAGGGATGCTTAAAAGTATAATGTTCCTGCCTCAAATGATCTTAAAATGTACTTTTTTTGAACGGCAAGAGAAAAGATAACTTTTAACTTAATGCCCAGTGCTCTGTGAGAGCTCCATTGAAAGCTGCTGCTGCCGCAGTGCATGCTGGGACAGCTGTCAATCTCAAGAACAGACAAGTCTGCTCTGATGCATGCTGGGTAAAGAGGGAGGGGCGAGAACAACATCCAGGGACTTTGTCCACTCTCGGTCATCTTGTTCTTGTGAATTGGAACAGGACTAGGGCTGAGGCTGATGATGTTTCACGAGCACATGAGAACGCACAAGTAAACATATTGAGAAACGGCACCTGTATTCCCTCCAAAATCATTAGAATTGTGTCACAAAGGTAATAGAACCAGGACTGGAAGAACCGGGCAGTGCAAATTGTTACGCCTACCTTATGCTTACTTATTGGTTTTCAGTGGGTAGATTTGAGTAAACATCGATACAAATACCTCAACATTCAGTTAAAGGATATAGTTCATCATGATGGAGCCAGAAAAGCACACAAGCGTGTGTCTTAGCCGTTGTTAATGTTGGTTTTGTTTGCTACCAGGTACAGGCCTCGTACTTACTGCCTAGCTGCTAGTGATGAAGAGTCATCAAGCGCAGGTTCATCAGATGAGGAAGACTCTTCTGACCTTTCAAATGATTCAACTGGAGCTGACAGGTACCACTGAGCTTGTCAACAAACTTGTTCTACTCATGTAATTTTCAGAATTGCAGGTTATGTAATATAACAATTTTTTCAAAAAACATAATTCAACAAGGAAGAGAACCTCTAGAAAGGACTATCTGATGGTTGTTTTTTCACTGAAAAAAGAAACCCATTGATTTAAAATCTCAATCAAATCTATTATTGTTTCTTGCTTCAGTCTGGTGGGTGGACATAAGCCAAGCAAGATCATGCGCTTTGTTGACAAAATTGCCAAGTCCAAATACTTCCAGAAGGCCACGGAGACGGAGTTTATCAAAAAGAAGATGGAGGAAGTGTCCAACACACCCCTCCTGCTCACTGTGGAGGTTCAGCAACTCAGAGGAACGCTGGCTGTCAACATTCCTCCTCCTCCCACTGACAGGATTTGGTATGTGAAGCCAGTCTGATCTTATTGCTGCTTAATCGTTAAAAAGTTTTCCACAAGCACCAATCATTTGTTCAGATCGGTTAATTGTTATTCAATGCATTAGTTTCTTTCCTTTAGACAGAAAATAAATAAAATTTCGAAAATGTTTTTAGGATGACTACTAATAGCGTGTTCATTATCTCTTAGTGTCAGACGCAGATGAGTCACAAGTGATACATTTCTTATTCATAAATGAGCAATCAAGGTGTCTATTGTTAAATAAGCAGAACTTACACCCTACTATACAAACTCCAGTTTCAGAGAAATGTTCTTTTTTTTCCCATGTAGTTAGTAATGCATGTCTGACCCCTGGTGGTAACAAGTTTACCCATTTTCAAATGTTTGCAAATGATTCTGGATGTTCTTTACTTAAGGTATGGCTTTAGGACTCCACCTCACCTGGAACTAAAGGCTCGACCCAAACTTGGGGAGAGAGAAGTGACTCTGGCTCATGTTACAGACTGGATAGAGAAAAAACTGTACCAGGAATTCCAGGTATTACCGAAGACGACTATTGTTGATTACTTTATTGTTTATTATGAGGAATTCTCTGCATTTAACCCATGCCTTTGGGGAGCAGTGGGCTGCCATTGTGCGGCGTCCGGGGAGCAGTGTGGGGTTAAAGGTCTTGCTCAGAGACCCAAAGTGGCAGTCTGTGGGAGTGGTAACAGAAACCATAACTAACAGTACAGAAAGAGAGCGAGCAAGTGCACCACATACTGGTTGGGAGCTTGTAGCTATATTATTGCTCTGAATGCGCTGTTTTCAGCAAAGGGCATGTTTTTAGACTCTCTATATGCCATTCAACATATTAATTGATTAAGTCAATGGACAATTACTTAAATATTTAATTAACCCTGATTAATATTTCAGCCCTGCTATTATTGTATGCAGTAAAAAAAAATTTACACATAGCTCTTAAAGTACATGTAAACTTTGATAAAGTAGTTAACTGTGAAGTGGAAAGAGAAGTTTGCAGGATTTTAAAATGTTTCTATATAGAAAATCAGAAGTCTTTTTATACAATGGTTCCTCCCATTGTGGAGTACACAACAATGGTTCTAACAGAGTCTTCCTTCTGAGCATTGATCTCTGTAGCTCCTCCACAGTTACCATGGACCTCTTGGCTGCTGCTCCTTTTCTAGCCAACCATTCTGGGTGGAAAGGGATGTTTCCTACTTTCGTTTTTAGGTCACAGACTGAAGAGTTCTAAGATCTTTCAACCTTGATAAATTATTTAATGACTTAACTCAGCTTTCAACTTCTCTAAATCTTTATCCTTGGCCTCATTCCTCATATCCTTGGTAATGGTTTCTTATCACTTGTGCTATTGCATAACAGTTTGATTTAGTGTGAGATAAAACTAAACAATCTCTGATGTACTATTTAAGTAAAATTTAAGGCATCCTGTGGAACTGGATTTTATATTTGGGGCATCTTAGTTATGAACATTATTAACTTCCTAATTATGCACTTAAAGGAATAGTACACCCAAAACATGATTAGCCTTCATTTTCTACTCACCCCCATGCTGAACAACACTCTGGAGTACTTTTTTGATATCTCAAATGCATCTGGAGATCTGGGAGGCTTCTTGCTGTCTGCTGACATTCAAATAATGGAGGTCTATTGTGCCCGAGACAGAAAGGTCCATAAGAGTCCACAAAAACGTGTCAATATTCCTCCATACTTCTCGTCCAATGTATTCCAAGTGTCCTGAGTGGGTAGCATCCAGAATTTACTCGAAACGAAGTCATTTAGAATGTTTTTAGACCATAAACAGTAGTGTATAGGATTTCCTGAAAGCGCGTTCACGAGTCTACGGAAACCGCGGCAGACCAAACCAGACGAAAGTGCGCATTCAGCTCAGCAAAGAACTCATGCTCTTCCTCAACGCTGAAGTCCTCAGACATTTTTCTTTCTTTGCACAGGTAAACAGCACATTTCTTCTTCAACACTTGCATTATTGGCAGAGCAGACGCTGAATGCGCACTTTCATCTGGTTTGGTCTGCCGGCTTCCGTAGCATTGTAAACGCGCAGGTGCGCGCTTTCAGGAAATCTTATACACTACTGTTTATGCTCTAAAAACATTCTAAATGACTTTGTTTCGAGTAAATTCTGGATGCTACCCACTCAGGACACTTGGAATACATTGGACGAGCAGTATGGAGGAATATTGACACGTTTTTTGTGGACTTTTATGGACCTTTCTGTCTCGGGCACCGTAGACCTCCATTATTTGAATGTCAGCAGACAGCAAGAAGCCTCCCAGATCTCCAGATGCATTTGAGATATCAAAAAAGTACTCCAGAGTGCTGTTCAGCATGGGGATGAGTAGAAAATGAAGGCTAATCATGTTTTGGGTGTACTATTCCTTTAAGTAACAGTAGCGTGTGTGTGTGTGTGTATGTGTGTGTGTGTGTGTGTGTGTGTGTGTGTGTGTGTGTGTGTGTGTGTGTGTGTGTGTGTGTGTGTGTGTGTGTGTGTGTGCTTTTACTGAGTGAGCTGAGTCAGATCTGAGAGGAAACACAAAGTATTGATGATAATTCAGCATTGTATGTCATTGTCTGTCCTGTTTTAGAAAATCCTTGTAATGCCAAACATGGACGACGTGTGGCTGACCATCATGCACTCTGCCATGGACCCTCGCACTGCTGGCGGACCCTTAGTCAGCCCTCCGGGGAACACAGAGCCATCTTAGCACAACCTGGACAGCAAACCTAAGCTTCGGAGATTGTTTACAGTATTGCCTAAAGCTTCTGGGGTTTAATAATAAAAACTCAAGCCAAAGTCTTCAGGCACTGTTGTCACAGAAAGACATTCCCCTAGAAAGTTACTGTCAAGCGTTCTAGAAAAGAAATGCTGCGGTTCTCTTGGAACCAGGTTAAGTTGACCAAGTCAAAAACTAATAGCATATTGTTGCTTGCTGCTATTTTAACTTGTACTCCTCGATGTAAAGAACCTATTGATGAGTTACAGTTATTTGGAGGAGAGTTGGGGTTGGCTCTTTGTTCATTCCTGTTCTCAAGGTAATAACTCTGATTATGAGTATTATAAGTATGTCCTATAGGCAGAGACAGGAACGCATTCACCAGATACCTTACAGATTGGTGGCTAGCTGATAGTGGACGAAACGATCCACTGTAGGTTCCCTTTAGAAATGCAGCACATTTAGATTAGAATGACCTTTAAGCACCGGACATATCAGATGTTCTGTTGTTTTTGTTAGACACCTGAACCTTAATTTTTTTTTTTTTTTTCTTTTTTTTTTTTTTTTTTGGCATCAGGTATTAATTTACAGTATTTATTTGCTGTGACCAGACCTGAGCACCCTGTACAACTGCCAAAAACCTTTTGTTTTTATTTTTAGATTTTATTTTAATCCCACTGATGCCATACTTAAACTATTGTAATAGTTAATGGGTAAAGTGGTTATGGTATGATCTATTTTATAAATTCTATACATGAGTGACCACACACAAGCACAATATGTACAATAAGTGCTTCATGGGCCAAGATCTGATTCTCTATAGGGACTATATGAAAAATTATGTCTGATGAAGAGTACAATGCCTCTAACACTCTGTTGAATGTATTACAGGAACCTTTTTTGTTTTTTCTTTGCTGAAAACTTTCTTCCCAGTCAAAGTTAGCCTGGGTTATGCAAACAATTGCACAAGCTCTTTTTTTATTCTTTTTTTTCGTAATGATAAACACTATCTCACTTTGCATACCTTTTTCCACACGTGACTGATAATCCGTATAGCTAATGAGGTAGCACACGATGCATCTTTTTTTATGTGTCATCTGTTGATATTGGGAGAGATCGTTATTGATCAGCCTGAAGTGTGCTTTTAATAGACTACCTGCTACACTCTATGTGAACAGAGGGTACTCTCAATAACGTAGCTTTGTTTTTTGTTTTTCAAGGAATGTAGCTACAGATTAATTACTGAAGAAATATTTCTAAACCAAAATCCTGTGGGGTCTGATTCTTATGTGATCTAAAAATTATAAAGCGTTATAGACTCATACTGGGGAGTGTGCTACAACTGTACATGAACTTCTTTTACAGGACTTGATATTATTTTATTTTAGTTTGGTAAAGCACCGTAACGATAATTATTGTGTTGGTTATTTTCCATTTTTGCCTTGATTCCAGTTTACATTCATTAGAAGATGCTTAAAGTGGGTTATGGCTTCGGTTTTTTTGTCTATTTTGTGGTATTATGAGAATGAAACAAGATTTTTCAGAAATATTAAAGAAGTAATTTGTATCTGTGAGTTATAAATTGCTTTTGACAAGTACATGTAATTTTATGGCCAATATTGAGAAGGCCAAAATTGATTCAACATGTATCTGCCTTATTTATAGAGCAAAATAAATCTATTAATTGATGTCACGATGTTTTGTTGACTTTTCTTCTGAATTTGTCCTCACGGGGCAATTTATTTTATATCCTTTTTAAAGTTCAACTAAATCCTTCATTTTTTTTTTTTTTTTTTTTTTTTTTGCTTCAAAAAGAGGTATTTTATGTACTTCAAAGTGCATGGTGGCCTACAGATGCTTGTCACCATTATAGTATTGGGACACATGGCCCAAGATGAGTGAAGGTAATTCAGCAACAGTAAGTTATGCAAATAGATTCGAAGGATGTTAAGGCTTCTTGGTATTGAGATGAGTTCTGGTCTGCTTCTCTCTCTGGCTTCCATTTTTGCAGGTGGCTGCTTTTGCCAACAAAAAATACATGTTTTGCTCTGTTTTGGCAGCCCTGAGAAGTCTCATTTGATTGGCTACACACTGCACCACAGTAGTTCCAAACTGTACTTCAAAATTTGAAAGGAGAAAATATTGATTTAAAGACGCTGTTTTATTAGGCTTATGTAGGCCTAAAAGGAGAATTGATGGTCATCAGTATGATGATGACCATCAATTCAACTATTAGGCCTACATAAGCTCAAGAACATTTCATTCTTGATCAGCCTTTATAAAAGCTTGCATTTAGGAGGGAAATGGTGATCTGTCCACCACACATGGACCTATATGAGTTAACGCATCTAGAACTTTCTGAAAGAAGTAGCCTAATCTCCATCTCTATGATATAACTTTCGACAGTAATGACGACTTAGCAATAATTAGTGGTATTAGGCCTATAGGTCTGCGTGTTTTATCTTTTACACAAAACATTTTTAAAAATAAAGTATAAAATAATTGTATTAACTATCTCATGCATGAATTATGATAAAGTCCTTCAAGTTTTTTTAAATACATTTTTAAAACAAAGTATCAAAAATAAAAAATTTCTATCTTTATTCTATAAAGAAGTATTTATCTGTCCACTCAAGTGTACTTTGCTCATTTTATACTGTAAAAACATCAATAAACCAACCAAGTTGCATAGATATAGTTGCAATTTAGTTTTAAAGTTTCAAAGAGGTGTTCTGCAGGAACGGTGGTTCCTCTACTCCATTCAGGCCTCTCTATTTGAGCTCTATTTATAAATGCAAAAGTTGTAAACATACTTTTTTGTAATACATGTTCAAAGTTGTACATGTACTCAGGGGATCCTACTTGTACTCTAACTTTAATTCCCAAGTTAAATATAGAGAGAAAAAAAAACACATTTCATAAAAAAAGGAAGTTAAAGTACAGCCAGAATATTATAGTATATGAATTTCAAGAACAATGTTGGCAGTATTTGACATTGCATTAAAGTTGAAACATAGTAATGCATGATGTCCGACTGAGTGGACAGGCCTCCCTCAAGTGATTCAGACACTGCCCCTCTGTAATTGACATTTATTTATTCCTTGCACTGTTTTTGCATGTCACTATCACTTTATTTGGATATATAGTTATACATACATATATATATATATATATATATATATATATATATATATATATATATATATATATATATATATATATATATATATATATATATATATATATACACATACAAAATTGATTTCCCTCTGGGATTATTAAATTCTGATATTCTATTTCCTCCAAATATAAAATCAAGCTTTGGAAAAGCTTTACATAATATATCACCTTAGATAATAGTTGAGGTATTTTTTTCTATTTTTAAGCTACAATGGCGTCTTTTTATAGAAGGTAGAAACAGAAATTGCTGTGGTGATTTGTCTTCTTTCCTGTGTGTATGTCATCACTATGCTTGAAAGTGTTGATATATCTTTTGCAGTTGTCTATATGGCAGCAAGCTTCATTGCATTTTTAAGGCATAACCGGCTGCATTGCGTGTTTTTATTATTATAATTATTATTTTATTATTAATAATAACTGCACGTGTCGGCGAAATCGCACGAAACTACACACCGGAAGTTACAGCTGCATCCTCTTCCTGGAGCGGACGTTTAGCGTTGCCTGGCAACCACTCCGCGTAGATTTGTTCACTACGTGGAGGAGGCGGTAAGTGTCTATTTTGTTGGTGTTTTCTGGTTGGAGAAAACACAAAAAACTGTTAATTTCTTCCTTATAACTTCGTTAAGTTTTGGTAAAAATAAATTCCGATATTTGTTTATAATTTTTGCCATAAAATACTGCTTTCCATTGGTTTACATCGTTTGGAAGTTAACCGTTTAAAGCCGTTTACGTAACTGTTTATATTTACTAAGAATATGAGTGTTGTTAGAAGAACTCATGGTGGTTTGATTAGTTTGAATATAGAAAAAAAAAACATCAAGAGATTACAAAACGACATGTTCAATTCAAATACATTAGTTGTTAAATGTATTTATTATAGGTTGTTCTTCGATGAGTTGTAGACGTTGATAGATTACAGATAAAATGCAGAACCCAGGAGGTGAAAATCAACATGCGGAAAACCTGCTGAATGAAGATGAGAATGTCCTGCACTCCCATGAGGTTTAGTTTCTATAAGAGAAAATATATTATTTTATTATTTTTAGTTTTTAATTTCTGCCCTGGTAATCCATTATCTGCCTACTTGGTTGACACCTAATATAGAGTTGGTATTATGATTTTTGTTAAAAAATATATATATTTGTTTCACACATCTTAATGTGAAATTGATCACTGAATTTATATGTTTACTCCCACAGAATCCATCAGCAGAACAGCCAGACAGCCTCTCACCTCCGACAGTCCTTCATTCAAACATGACAGGTGAATACTCCTTTTCATCCTGTTAAACAATAATTCACCGATCTCACAGTATACCCCACATACACTGATTCTCAAATCGCTGTACAGGTACCTCTTGGGGTGCTTGGATTCGTATTGAATAGCACTTAATGCATTAATGCATTAAAATATTTTTTGCCTAGATCATTTAGATTGGAGGTAAAGTTAACTTTAACAGTTAACCCAAAATGATTCACAGTGTAAAGAATATTTAGAGTTAAAAGTATTCTTTCCCAAACAAGAACTTGGTTTCAGAAAGTCGCTCACACTGAGCCTGGTTCTGTTGGAGGTTTCTTCCTGTTAAAAGGGAGTTTTTCCTCTCCACTGTCGCTACAAGCATGCTTAGTGTGAGGGATTGCATTCGAGTCAATGAGTCGATGCAATCAACTTGTTTTCCTTAGATAGAAAACTTTGAATCAATTTGACTGTATGATCTGGTGAACTGTAAAGGGCCTTGAGATGACATGTGTTGTGAATTGGCGCTATATAAATAAACTGAATTGAGCTGAATTGTGTAAAGAGTGGTGGACAATCAAATACCAACTAAAAACAGGGTCAGTATCACCGATTCTGATACTGATACTGTTCTACATTTAGCCTTGATGTATCATGTAA